TAGAAGAGATATTGAGAAGTTATTGAACAGTTGCAAATATCTAGCCTGACTCCAAAGCTTTTCAAAAGAAAATTTTGCATTGCAGAGTTCCTTGCAAAGGACTGTTACTATAAGTGGTAATAGTATTAGTTAAGAATTGCTTAGGAATCTTACCTTAAAAGACAAAGTAAATAAGGTAACTGCTGCATTTAGGTGTAGTGATAATCCAGCATAGTCTCAGTTTGTTTCCTTGTGTTTTTCAACACACGGGAAAAGTGACTTGTGTTTGTTGAAATGGTAAAGCCCTGGGTGTTTTTCCCAGGTACTTAGAAGTACATACAAATACATAATAAACAAGAGGAGCAGAAGTACAGTAAAAACATTGTAAATTCTGTTGAAGATTAAATCAGTCCAAAAGAGTTGATAGTATAAGGAAAAATCTGCTTTGTGTAATGATGTAAATACCAAGAGATACACTTGTTTGTATAATGGAAACAGAAAAAGTGACTTCATAACCATTTCCCCTGTTTTTTTTTAATTTTGTGGGTTTAAAAAAAAATCAGTTGAAGACCTAGATAATTTTTAAAAGATGTACTGTATTACAGATGTCAGAAATTATTCCATTCCATATACATGGTGGGGGAGCTCCTTGCCCTATTTTCTTCAATTAATAATGAACATTAATGAATTACATTGTTTATTGCATTTTTTATCTTGTACGTCCAGCACTTGAGGCAGGTGGAAACTGTCTAGCTGTATTTTGCTGACAGATTTCTCCGGGTATACCGTGTGACTGTTATGAAGCTACAGTTAGATAAGTGAATTGTTTTTCTATAATATATCTACTTCTATTTTCATGTATGATCTTCCAACAGATGAGCATTATTTACCTGCTTTCCTGGAATAGCGGATTGTGTTGCTTTGTACAGGGTATGTTAAGTGAATTAGGCACATGAGCAGTTAGCCCATTTGCTTAGGGAGGCTGGCATTGAGACAAGGAGGTTATGGCAGGATACAGAGCAGTCTGAAGGAAAAATACTGTGGATGTAACCATCCTGCTAGAAGAACCGAATTGAAATGGGGACACTACAGTTAATTCATGTGTAATTACATTCCTTTGTTGTTAAAAATTAAATCCTGGGCAAGAGGAAAGTTTGAGCCTGGAACTGTTTTGAAGCAAATTTGAGCTGATGCCTTTCCAAAAACCTTTGGTGATTGCCAGGACATAATCACCAGGAGCTAGTTACCTGCTGGACAGATTTATGTTCTTTTATCGTCTAACTTTTCTGTGAATTTATCAGCATCTTTCATCATGCAGGTTATTTATAAAATATAACCTACTACCAAGTTTTGCTTCTCTTCCTCTCTTCTGTCCACTAAGCCACAGTTTAAGGGAAGGATTCATGATGCACTGTTCTTTCACGTGCAACCTCCAGGTCAACCATCAGGAATTCCGTGTTCTTTGAGGCTGGCCTTTAAATCTGCACAAAAATATTTGCAGTTCATCATGCTTCATGTGATCACTACCGCAGGACCATTGGCCCCAAAGCCTTCCTTGCAGAAGTAGTCCTGCAGGAATCTCAGCAGGGATACAGGTTGCAAGGCTTTTGTACCTTGAGATTTGTACCTTAAAAATTGTGCATGCATTCTGTACAACATGGGCGCATCCTGCAGCATTTCCCCCTGTAAAGTATGTTTTTAAATGCTTTTATGTTTCACATAATGATTATTATTCCAACATCTCTGCCTTCTCCCCCGACCCCTGATGTTGTTTTAACTGCATTTTTAAAGTGAGGAATTCCCTTTCACGAGGAACTGTTGAATCATTGCATCTGAAGAGTACTCCCCTTCTTGCTCTTTTCCATCAGTGTGCCAGTCTAATGCATCTATTTTGGATGTCAGTCATTCCCATTTCTACCCCAGGCTGTAAGTTCATCTTTTCACAGGAGTATCGGTTCAGACGTTTTCTGAACTGCTTGTTTCTCCAGTGCTTGTCCCTCCCTTGTCCCCTGTTGTACTGGTATGTGCTTCAAAATACTGGACTGTGTCATTTCAATGGAGAGGTGGCACATCAGTATAGTGCCTGAGTCTGGCGTCCTTTGTACAGGCCATAACATGCAAAAATGATTGTGTTAGCTTTTGCTTTGTTTGCAGGCAAATGAAGCTTAATGTCTCTGTCCAGGCTCCAAATTACCTATGAGATTATTTATTTAATCATCTCAATCTGCATTGCTTGTGGCTTTTCAACCCCTGTTAGACTTCCTGTCAGAGAGTGCCAGCACCACAGAACAACAAGGTTCGCTGGCTGGCTCTGTACTTTATTGTGTGTAGTCTCTATTGTATTTGTGGGATTTGTTGTTATTTCACTACAAATCTTCATAAATTTTTTTTAAGTTCTGTGTTAACCCTGAAAAGTTATAGAATTGGGTTGAGAATTAAAATGCTTTCAAAGCATCTTTGTCCTGAAACAACTCTGCAGGGCATGAATAAGTAACAAATGGATTGTTTTTCAGTCAAAATGCATCAGCTAACATGAATTTCCCCATGAAAAATCTATTTGAGTTTTTACAGATACCTGTAGGATTATATTTCTCCACTCTTAAGTTATACATGACTTTAGATTGCCTTGAATCAACCTCTGAAATTATAGATCATCTTGAACCTTGTGAGAAGATCAAAATGTATGGGATTCTGTTTTAGAAAGGATGTATTTTGTCTGTGTTTTTACAGTATACATTTAGCATGACACTGGGTTGATTAGATGATTTCCTGAAGCCACAATTTAGTTCTTCAGGATCTGACTATGTAACTAAAAAAAAAAAAAAAAATACAGTGCACAGTAAGAAGCCATGCTGGTATTTATGGTTGTTGATTCATAATAACCCCAGACTAGAGGTGGATATTTAAAGAAGATATCAGCCAATTGAAGATTTTGAGGAAATACTGCTTGTGATTTCATTTTTAAAATGTTTTTCCTTTCTCTTACATGTCAGTCCATGTTAAATATGTGCATAAAGTTATTATTGTAATATACGTTATAATTACACCTTGTACAGACACGAGATTATAGTTTTCATAATAAATACCGCCAGTAGAAGTTGTACTGTGGCATAATTAACCATCACTTTTCTTTTTCAACATCTCGTTACTTTCAGTATAAATATTCTGGAAGGACCATAATTAAATAGGTGGTCTTAAGTGGCTTTTCTTTTTTCCCAATGTGACCTCAATTTATGGGATAATAGGATTTTTTTTAACTTCCTTAGAAAACACTCACTTTAGGGATGAAAAACCTTGCTTTTTGCTTCTGATAATTACAGAGTCCCAAATCTGCTCAGATTAGACTAATCTGATCTTCCCATTTGATATCTTTCACGCTGCGCACTAAATGTCTTCACTCAGCTTTCTTGCCTCTCTTTCATCACTGTAGTGGTTTATTCCTACCCAGTGGCATATAAGGAGGCGGCTGAAGGAGTTCCACTGAATGCTCTTTCAGGAATCTGGCCGTATATTCTGAGTTGTGTTCTCTCTTTAACATCTGGCAAGTGTGAAATTTTAAAGTTGAGTCTTTTCAGTGGGGTGTTGAGCATCCCCTTACATGATTTCTTGTAAATCTGTTATTTTTCATCAGCGGGAAGCATAGAAGTGCTGGGAGGTAAGTGCTGGTCTTCAGCCTGCTCAGCTTTGCGTGAACCTCATGTGCCAAATTTTTGGTATGTGTCCTGCCATGGGGTCGATGAAGTCTGTTTGCTGTGGTCACTGGGATAGCTGCTTCCAGGACTTGCAAACAAGCTGGGAAGGCAGTGAGGAAAACTGACAGCTGTGAGGTCAATCCCGCAGCTTTGGCAGTTAGTGTGTGAAAAGGTCCTGTGGTAGCATTGGTGATGATGCTTTGATATTAATCTTAACTACCTCTAAAATGTTGTGTATTATTAAACTGATAGTGGTCATGTTTATTAATGGTATTGCTATGGGAAGGTAACAAGACACCTTTAGAGCCCTCTGGTTGAAGTGTTTCAGGATCTCGTGCTACTACTTCTGAAAGAGCATGGTAACAGAGAACAGGAGGTCTCAGGAGAAATTAGGCAAGATAATGCAATTGCTGAAAAATTAACACAAGTCGCAGCTGTATGATAAAAGCTTTAAAAAGTTTTTTCAAACCATATAAAGTAAAGAGAAAAACGAAAAGCAACTGCCTAGGCAGGGCTGAAATAGATGCATTGTATCTGCTGAGGCTTAGTCCTGTAGTATTTGGCATAGTTTGAAAGTTACCTCAAAATTTATCGTTGTTTCTAAAAAAAATTCTTGAAAAACAACTTCAGATTCTGCTTCCTGAAAGTGCAAAAGTTCTGCTAGGTACAATAAATTTCCTTGTTTTCATGTGTTAATTCTGGTATTCTAAAAGCGTGCAAATAGCATTTGTCTTTGGATTTACAAAAACTCTAGATATTCAGAGTTTGAATTATTTAAACTCCCACAACACATGCACTTTTGCTTTTCAAGCTTGAGTTATAATTTAATTAAAAACTTCTGGTGCATCGCTAGCTGTTTAAATATTAAAGTGTTCCATGGATCACTTTCGATTATCTACCATCATGAAATTCCTGAAGATGTCAGATTTTTAAGATTCCCAAAGTTGCACTTGGAATTGTCTGTTGATGCAAAGGGGACTGTGATAATTACATACATCCATTAGTATCAGCAGAGGAGATAAACTTTGGGGAGGCTTAATGGGCATGTCTCAGTGACAGCTAGCAAAGAACATTTGGCATGATTAAGGATGGATTTGAATGTACTTGAAAATATACTCTCATTATGGACACCCAGTGGAAGTTGCACTACAAATGTTAAATTCCCCAGAAGAAGAGTTGTGTGGCAGGGAAACTTTGAAATCCACTGTGGCCGTCATCCAAATTACTCTCTTCTCTTTGTGTCTTTCCGCTGTCAGATTCACTTTGTGATGCCCAACTTGGCTCCCTGCATCTTTGAAAAGAGGCAACCTGTTGGTTTCTGTGTTTCAGATTGTCCGAAGATACATCAAGGACTGGCTTGAAAGGAAGAAGCCTCCTTTTGGCGCTATCAGCAGCTGTGTGCTCCTGATGATCATCTACACAACGTTCTGTGATACTTTCGCCAATCCTAATATTGATCTTGATAAATTTAGCTTGATTATAATAGTATTCATAAGTAAGTTCAGCCTTAAAGCATCTCTTTTATCTGTGTTTCTGGTGTGTAATGAGCTATATATACTGGAGAGGCTGGGGCTGCGGGGACACTGGCATGGGGCTAGAGCTTGTACTTTTGATGCTTCTAGTAAACCAGATTACCAGGTTTCTTAGGGGCTGGATGCTTTTAGGGGGATTGAGTAAGCATTGAGAGAGAGATGAACCCTGCTATTTAGGTGTGCCTGAGGTTGCTCAGTGGTCCTTTCTTTCTAAAGGGGCACGGTATTACTTTCCACGTGTTTATGATCATTCTGTTTGGCTTCTGTGTTATTAAACAGCCATAAATGCATAGATGTTGCATTCCAAACAGAAAGGAAAGATTTGGTTTTGAGCTGTTACTCAAAAGCACTGTTACAGCTTTTAAATAGTTCTTCCTTACCGCATTGTAAACTTAGAAACTAGTTGGGAGTTCAAATGTGTTGGTATATTTCTGTGGATGAACATGTTTCTTGCAGAGTTTGTTTTAGGAGCACTCTAGTCATTCAGCCTTAAATAACATACATATGAGAATAGACTGCTGGTATCCTTGCCATCAGTTAAAAATACACTTGCAGATCACTACCTCCCAGGGAAAGGCGGTGGTGTACAGGACTGTCTCCTCTCCCAGTAGGGAATTCCCGTCTTGCTTCAGACTGTCCGGAGACAGGAGTTTCAGTTTGCTGGGGGGGGGTGTGGGCGGGGGAGGTAACCACAGTATAAATCACATCTTACACACTCTAAAACTGTTAGATTTCAAGAAATCAATGCATCACCTACCTTGAAGTGTGTGTATGTGCACATGTTCTGTCTAATAAACATAATGTATCTTCTCTAAATACAACCTCCACTGAAGTCAGTAGGAAATTTGCCCCTGCCTTTTGTTCTTACTGTAGAGTTCTTACTCTATCCTAACTGTGGCAGTTTTGGGATTATGAAACACTATACTTGTGTAAAATACTACATGGAATTACAAATGGTACTGTACAAATAGTTTGTTCTGAAAGCAAAGGAGGAGGAAGCTATGCTAAGAAGCTTTTTTTTCAAATTGGAGGAAATACTTGTTTGCATAGGCACCTGAGAAGGACCACATCCCAGATGCGCTTAAATCAGTGCAGAGTTGTCAGCAAAAAAAGAGGGATATGGAAATTTTCAACTCTGGCTTAACATGCAGAGAAACTCAGAATGAAGTAATTTTACGTTACTGTGCTTACTGCTACTTTGAAAGAAGAGTTCATTTTAGGTAAAAAAGCATGTTCTTCCTTCAACAGTTAGAGTGGTTGCTTCCATTGCCTTTCTTGTCCTTTCTTTTATTTCTCTGCAAGACAACTCTGCATTTGTGCCACATGTAATTATATACACCACTTGCAGTGCCATATACTGAAAATCATTATATATACATTTTTGTTGCCAGTGTGCATAGCTGGAGTTTCTTAGTAAGAATATTAACATGATCAGTGAAACTGCTTGGAACATATTAGACATTTGTTTTTTTCTGAAATATTTATGTAACCAAAACCCAAGGAAGTTGTGGAGATGGATATGCACATTGTATTCTGGAAAAAGTTACTGTACCACCATTAGATGTGTTGTCTGGACATGTGTGTTGTGTTGTATCAGGATGTGAAAGTAGCACAAGGCGTTTGAGATGAAACGGCATTTATTATTCTGCTGATTTAATGTTTTTATGTAATTTTTATGTTAATATTCTAGCCACAGCAAAATATGCACAAGGGATAATTGGTAGCAACACATGCTTATTGCTTTACAGAATTATATGTATTAAGGGATTTTTTTTTCTGTGCATATTAAATTAATGTACTTAGTTGCAGAAAAATTGTAATTCAGGAACAATGGATTGCTTCCTTAGTTCATGAAGGAAGAATTAAGTGCATGCTGAGGTGACATTTATACATCCTAGGAAACGTATGTAAGAGAATGGAAAATGTCACCGGTAGTAGCTAATGTCCCTGCCACGTTGCCCAGTTGTAAAATGGAGTCAAAATCAAATGTGTTGTCTTGGCTTGCACTACCCTATGGGACACATTAGCCTTACTGCATTCACAAGTTTTGCGAGGAAAAGGGAGAGGACCCACCCCAGATTCTGATGCAAACAAAAGCCCTGCCCCTCCATAAACCACAGACACCCAGAAGAGGTCTGGGCAGGGCACAGGGCTTCTCCACAGCTGGGGGGGGCGGTTCCTGTGCTCTGGTCTCTGCAGTCCCAGCAGCTACTCGTGGCACAACGGGGAAGCTGCCTGCTTCTCCCCACATTTCCGCAGATCAAGGGTGGGCTCTGCACATCCCACAACCCCTGCGGGCGTCAAGAGAGCTGGCAGAAAGCAGAGCTCCCCTCTGGACCCTTAAAAACTGACCACACTTACAAAGCTGACGGACCTTGAACGAAAGCTGCTTTGTCTGATGTACACCACCCCAGCTCAGGAATTAGCCTTTGTCTTGGAGGGAATGAAAATGTCTACAATGATATTCCCTTAATAATGATGATTCATCGGGAGAGTTATATACCCAGTGTGTAAGAATACTGATTGTAATCATGCTTACGCATTGTACTTTCTCCTGCTAAATAGAAGGGGGCTAAATTTAAATACTTGGCAACCAAAGCATGTCTGTGAGATTTTATGTTGTCAACCCAATAAGCAAAACTAGTGCAAACAGAGGTGCAGCATGCAATAGTGAACTTCCCTGCCATCCACTGTGTCAAGAAATGCTTAATTCAGATGAGTTACCTCAGGAAGGGATTGTGTAGCCACAACATTAGCTCCAGCTTTCTTGGTTGTAATGATACGTATTGTTCTTCCAGATATGATGGTCTTCAAAGGTTTTCTGTCATTGGATTTCTCTGGCTAGACTTGGTCCAGCCTAGCTTCTGACCTGTTGTGTTGGGGGAAAAAGGCATCTACGCAGCAATTGCAGAGATTTAAGTCATCTTTACTTCTGTGATCTAAATCTAATTTTAATTTGTTTCTCTTTCAGTATTTTCTGTTCAGATGAGCTTCATGTTTTTGACTTTCCTCTTCTCTACAAGGTAACTGAATGTGCTGAATCAGAACCTTTGAATATTTGGTTTGCGTGATATCTTTGTTTTGGGTGATACAGTTTATGCAAATGTGTAAGGGCAGGTTTCTGAACAGGGGTGACCTCATTTTGGTATTTCATGTTGTCCTTACTGCATTTTCTCTGTTAGAGTTTCATAGGCTAAGAGAGCAGGACCTGAATTCTGTCCTTTCTTGTGTGTTAATTACAGAGTTGTTAAATCTCAATCAATCACTGCTATACCTCATCCACTGAAAAAAATGGATTTGCACAGATGTCACTGAAGGTATAATTTGCCCTGCAGACATGCTGATGACATATGAGAGAGAGAAGTCAGTTTGACTTTTTACATCTCAAGATACATTTGCTGGGCTGGCAATTCACTCTTCTCTGTATATGTCAAATGTGTTACATTTATATGGCGATTCGTAAAAGACAGTTGTCCTGAACAAATGTTTGATAGAGCTATTTTTTTTTTTCTTCTTAAATATCAACGAGAACAGTTGTACATTCACTTCTCAAAAAAATAGTAACATGAGAATGGTGTTAGCCAATGGCTTAGTGCATCACTTGAGCTGGTCAGAGAATCCACCATTGTCCTCTCGCTTAGACTTACTGGAGTATTTTTCTTAGCAGTAGTCTGCTGAATGGGAAGTGCCACAATACAGCAGACTCCAGACATGTGCTTTATATAAATTATACAGTATTTGTAACAGAGAATGACAAAGAAGGATGCGATGTCTTAGAACTACTTATGCTTATTTAGTGCCACAAGAAAATTTCTCTGTGACAAGATCATACGTTGACCTTAGAAGGCATTTTTAAATAACTTTTGAACTGCTAGACCTAACCTGAGGGGAAGATATGTCCCAAGTGTAAAATCTAAAATGCCATAAGTAGTAACCAACTCAGTGTGGTAAATATTTAGAATCTCATAAAATTATTCCTAATCTGGACCAAAGGGTGATCCATTGGCCAATCATATACCTCTCTCTGTATGTCATTTTTCCACCCTTCCTGGCCTTACTCACAGTGTGTAACCCCTTAGATGCAGTTTTTTTCTGAAGTGGAAGATAGCTTACATATTCTAATCAGTACTCATAGTGTAGACTCAATATACTATCTAAATTGAGCTTTTTGTCAACATTACATACCAGGAAAAGAAATCGTAGGTCTTTTTTTTTTTTTTTTTTTTACAGAGGCAAGCTGGCCACTGCTATGATACAGCATGTTTGCTAAAGTAAACCTGGCTGGAATAAAGTTATGTCCTACATACTGTGTGTTCAGAATTCCTCTCCTTCACACAGGAGCATATTCATTAGAGAGTTTGCCACAACTGAGAAACAATTTTGCTTTTAAAAAAAATAAAATCAAACACTACTGTTCATTTGTGGGTAGAATTATTTCTGTCACTAGACCTGATCAAAGTGATGTGAATGTGCATATGGATTCTCAAAGTAATATATTTGATCGATGATGTTTTAAGAAGGTTTTTGCTATCAGAGGTTATTAAAACTCTTTCTTTTCTAGGAATAACTCTAGTTTCACACCAGCAGACACAGTGGCTATCATTTTCTGTTCCACACACAAATCCCTCACCCTGGGTAAGTCAGGAGATAAGCTTTTGAGCAAAACAACAGTAACATTCATACCTTGCTGTGTTGAAAAAAAATGTTGTTGGTTGCTGGCTTTTCTGCTTAAATGGTTTTGGTTTTACTGTGACAAGTAAAGCTACCAGTATGATGCTAATAGTAGGATAATATTCTTGCACAGATAAAATAAACACTTATTACAAGGCTGATAACATAGTCTTCTCAGCTGATATTTTAGCCGTTATACAGTAAGATCACCTTATTTATGGAAAGATGGATTTTTCTGTCTGTTGTTATGCTGCTCTGTTGCCTAATCCAATATTGATAAAATTTCAGGTTTGTAACTGAAAATATTGTAAGGTGTATCTGCCCAGTCTCACAGTAAAATCTCACACCTAAAAGCTGGGATGTACAAGTGAAAATCAAAGCATGTAGTGTATTCAGAAATCACAAATAGACGCTACTGTCTGTTGCTTAACATGAGCAAAATCTATGTGTTCATTTTAAGTCTGCAGATATTTTGGGTAGTTTTATTTATTAGAATTCATTTATCAAAACATCGTTGAGGTATTTGTCACTTACGACCCCTTAGTGATAATAAGATGTTCTGATGGGAATTCACAAAATACTGCTAAATCAGTTGTGCTTACAGCCACTTGCTACTGCTTCATCCATTATGTTCAGTCAGTGAAATGACTAGAACTTGAGTATTTTTTTTACTGTTTTTCAAAATATGAAAACCTGTGTTTGATAAAACATATGTGACTGAATACATGCCTTTTCAAGACTGTATCTGTCAAAGAGAAACACAGCAGGTGTCAATAACAAAGGTAAGAACTCAGTCTGAAACAGGGGAAGAACAAGTTGGGACTTAGGTGAGATGTTTTCCAAGTCAGTTTGATATAGCGAAACTCATCTCAGGGTTCTTTGCTTCAGCCAGGCCTGTGCTGCACAACTCTTAGCAAGTGCCCTTGAAAGTCTGTGGGAAGTGAAGGAGTTCCTGGAAGACAAGAAAAAGGCAAACATAATGCCTCTTTTTCACAACGAGGAGGGGACGAGGAATTATAGATCAGTGAGTTTAACTTCATTTTGTAGAAAACTACTGAAACAAATACTTACATAAATTATTTTAACAGTGTAGGAGGAAACAAGGAAATGAGGAACAGCCCCATAGATCTGTCAAATGCTTATCATACCAAACTAACCTAATTTCCTTTCACACAAGGTCCTGTGGGTTGCAGAGAAGTAGCAAAAGTTGTATGGCTTGAGAACATTATGGCTTTTGACATTTGCATGATGTTTCGGGCTCCACAATTCAAAAATTATGTGGACCAACTGGAAAGAGATCAGAGGAGAGTGCCATGAATGATCATAGGTCTCAAAAATGTGACCCCAGAGGAAGGCTGAAGCAATTGGGATTGTTGAGAGAAGAGAGCTGAAATACAGTAGTGATCTTCAAATGCATGAAAGGTTGATGCAAAGAAGGAAGACAGTAACTCTTTCACAGTGAACTTTTAAAAGGGAACGACTTTGTTACAACAATGATGATGATTTAAGCTAACAGTCAGGGAAAGCTGACTAATGCAGAACAGTTTAGCATTGGAATATGTTGCGTATTGATATCTTGAATCTCCTATCATTATAGACAAGCCTCAGACAGGAATTAGATAGCTAGAGTTGATCCTGCCTTGGAGCAGAACATAGATTAAATGACAATAGGTCTTTTTCAGCCAAATGTTCTATGAAACTGAAGCTCCAACTAATAAATGAGCTTGTATTCAGGAGGATGCTTTTGCGCTACCTTTCCTTACTGCTCAGGGCCTGCGTTGAGATTGCTGGGTAGTTGGGACCTGTGCTTCCCTTGCTGTATTCCATCTCTGGGGCTCAGTTTTGTCAAGGTTTATTTGAGACTCCTAGGCTTGTCTTGCGTGGGGCCAGCAGCAGTGTGTCCTGAATTGAGCACCAACCCCGATGGGGAAATGATCTTTTTGGCAGCACCTGGGAGCCCATCTTTGGTAAGCCTGAGGGCCCTGCTGCCTTTGTGTGCACCCCTACACAGTGTGTGCACTACGTAGGTGTGCCTGCTGTGTATCAGTTTCAAGCTGGCTGTTTTGGAGACCACTGGTATTTTGCTGTGTTTGGTATTAGTACCAAGTCCAGATCAGATAGAGCTGCGTAAAACCACATTTCTATGTAAATGGGGAGGATCGGGTTTTATAAAGCTGTAGGGTGATGAGGCATGGCCCTGAACTGGAACGTTAACCAGCGCAGCTAGCATTTATTGCTTCACTGAAGGTGGAAGCAGAGTAGATCTAATTTGTTTTTAGGGATCAGCCATTTCTGAATGACAGTTAAATCCATCCGCAGCACAGTCTTGTGCACCCTGATCTTAGCAGAAACAAGAATATAGGCATTTTGGCCCTTACTCTTTTGTCGTTCTGTCACATTTCTCCTTGTCCAGAGGTGTTTACTATAAACTATGCAACAAGAAACCTTCTGTCCTCTTGTAGCAGAGAGAGTTTTTCCCTCTCCCTCTGTCATTACAATGCCTGAAAGCACAAACACAGCTCAGGGTCTGGTTTCACATCTGTGTGGAGCTCTGCTTTGTTTGTCTTCAAGATTCCAATGGTAGTGTGTAAATGACCCCCCAACACTTGTTCTTTCACTTTGAAACTGATTTCTCTCAGCTTGGCAGGTGAAACTCCAAATAGGTACGTCTGGCCCATTCCCCGGGGAGCTTAGAATGGCACCGACTAAAGTGGGAGAAGAGCTGACAGCTTTAAAGCTTTAGAAGTGGTAATAGGAGAGGCATGAGAAGACTTTTATAAGTCACTTTCTCCCACACCATATTACAAAACCAACTAATTCCCATGCAGTGCATGCTCATGAGGCCAACTGCCACTTCCACTGTTGAATCCATGAATAAGTGCTTGCTCTGCACGGAGATGAGTGCTGTTCCCATATGCTGGGTTTTATTTTGTAGACAGAACAGTTGACACACTTTTTGTCTCAAAGATCAGAGTGCAGGGCATGTTTGTGTAAGGACAAATTACACAGGGTATGTACCTTTGTGTTTCTTAGTTAGGAACACAAGCTGATATCTCTGCATCGAGGTGGGTGCTTTGGCAGTTTTTTGAATACAGTGCATCACATATGCAGAAAAACTAATGTTGATTTGTATTTCACTTAATGAGTGAAACAGGATATAAACTTACAAGGAGCGAAGATAAATATAGTATTCACAATGCCCTCTGGCATATTCAGCCACACTTTGTTCTCTTTCTCTCCTTCTCCCTACTCACATATATGCACAGTACATGTGAGCGCACACATATGCGGACATTTGATGCATGGCTTTTATTAGTGCATTTGCCATTGATTGATTAGTACTTAGTATTAGTACTTCTTCTATTGATTGATTGCAGATGAAGTGACTATTTGACCTTTAATTATGAGCCTTGCTATTGAAAATGACATTGAGCTATGGCTTCACATAATCCATCTGGAAAGCCCGACATGATGCCATTCCCTGGAGTTCATTCAGTAAGAAGAGAAGAGGCCTCAAGGAAGTGCAAAGCTATCAGTGTGGCTCATGTAAAAAAATACTGCGGTTGTTGCTTGCACTTACACAAAAGTTGCAGCCAAGTACAGAACATTATTTTAGCTTTTGCAGAGAGTGAATTGCTAGCTAGAAATTATGACTGCAAAAGTAAAATGCAGGATTTGTCAAAAAACACTTTCACTTTAATTCTTTGTTATTTACTATGTAAAATTATTTTATCAGCAAAAAATGGAGTACTGCTACCTATTTGGGCTACCACAAGTGCAAGTGCTAGTACTGTAGGTATGACGAACAGCAGATTGGTAAAAAACAAACAACAAAAATAACCCCATGTTATAATAAAATCAAGGTACTGTTTGTGATGCAGAATGCATTTTTCCTCATTTGGATTTATCAATGTAGCAGTTCTTTCACCATAGAATTCTTAAAGTAATGCAATCAAAGCTTCTAGGCTACAAAATAGTTTCAGGAAAGAATAGAGTTCATTTTGCGAGTAAAAGCAAAATCACTAACTTTCTTTGGTATTGTTTTAATTTCATTCAGACCTGTTTTTTAAACACTCAGCTTCTTACTGCATGAGTACAGAACTGATAGTCTGTACTTGAACAATTCTTAAAAGCCTGCTGTAATGCGCAAGTAGATTCATTGTCCATGAGTGGATCATCTAGGCTATGGATTAATCACCCCATGCCTTCCCCCGAGTTCCCCAGCTACACAGTGTGACAAGAGTGCATCATGCTCACATATAGCTCCAGCCTGCTCACAGCTATCTATAGTTTGCTCATCTTTTCTACAGATACCTCCTTACAAGATTTGAAAGAGATAAATAATATATTGGCACAGCCTAAACCACTGCTGTTCAATATTAGCTAGGTTTTTGCTTCGTCTGTGTTTTTTTTATACCCAAACTCTGCGAAATGCCATACTAATCAAGCGCAGACTCTTTTTATTGGGTGGTGATAATTACCTTTCTCCTTTAGAGGGCAAAGTGCCAAAAGGTTCTAACTCGTGTTAAGATAAAAGGTAGATAATTTTGTTTTCAGAAAGGAGGCATCTCTTAATAATTCTATAATAGAAAGTAAGACGGTAAAATGGGGTAGGTTGCCCTAAGTGAGTATTCAGGCTATACTCTGTGGTATTTTTGAAATGTGATGGTTTTTCTCTGCTCCTGGCAGAGAATTGTCCTTGAAGGCGATTATTCATCAAGGTACTAACTGTGACTAGTTATAAATGTGTGAATAATTCCTCTGACTTTTAGATAAGGATGTAGAAAATAATACTGGTTAATTGCTCTCTGAAAGTTTTCAAGAGTAAGACTTTTGATACTGTTTCTTTTACTTTCAAAACTTTCCTACGAGTGTTGAACAGGAGACATTACTGCTGGCATCATGTCATACTCTTGGTGTTACTAGTGCTTGAATTTGCATATTTTCTTACCTATTACAGACTT